TGAAACTCAAACTAGAAATGAATAAAAGCAGGTGAGTCATTTTTAATATCTATACGTGAAGTGTTTGCCCCAAGAACTCTGACCCCCCTAACTATATAAATTTTGGTTCTGAACACTGAATCTAAGATGGCGGGCACGATTTTTCGAATAATGGCAAGTTGGATATCGTTTTCGAGGTATTTGGGGGTGCTCATTACGAATATAGCACTTATTTGTAAATCCAAGATGGCGGATACGATTTTTCAAAAAAATGCAATGTGAGTATCCCTTTCGAGGTATTTGGGATGCTCAATACGAATAAGGAACTCATTTCCGCGCGGCGGCCGCGCGGCTGCAGCGCTGCTGCAACGCGGCTAACAGCGGCTAATTTCAACGCGTCCTAACGCGCGTCGATTGACTAATAGATGAAAACATAAAAAGAATCACTCTATATTTACACGCAGTAACAAATGTAAAACAAAAACTGTCTCCCTCTTACTCATAAGCTTGATCGCGCGCGAGAGAGACAGACAGACTTTTCGTGATGCGCGTACAGTGTGACGTCACGTCGCACGCTTATTCACAGACGCTACACAAGCGCAACTTGTAAATGTGTTGAACGTGCCAGCTTTAGTTAACTGACTTATATTTAATGTAAGTTATACGAAATAAATAATATTGCAAATTAAATAAATATTACAAAATCTATAAATAGCAATTTCCTCCAAGAAACTGGTATTTATTTTGTGATATGTATCAAAATATTTTTTTTTTTTAAATCACGATTGTCATTGAAAATGAATAAATGAAATGTTGTTTACTACACATAAAATTACAGTGGCAACACAGAGTAGTAATTTAAGTATAAAAATATTAATGTACAACAGGCGGCTTTATTGCTATGAAGCAATTTCTTCCAGGCAAACTTAGCTTAGAAGTTAGGGTAGGTACGAGTATGCAAAAAGGGTGCAACAAAAGAATACCTTAATAAATACATTACTACATTTGCAATTTCAAATTCATTTTCTTAAACTTAAGTGTAAAATTTCATGAACTCAATTAAATTAAAATTAACTTTAAATTAAAATACTGTATTAATTAAATTTTTATTAAATTGATATTCAATTATTTTTTGTGAAATGACTCCACTAGCTTGTTATAATTATTAATACAAAGATAGAACACTCAGAAAAAATTCCTTCTATCCGGTCGGATTCGAACCGACGTCTTCTTGCATACCGTGCCAGACGCTATACCAACTAAGCCACGGAACGAACCAACGGACCTCACGAATTATTCTATGTGCTTGCGTCGTGTATTTGGTTTTTCAACGACTTTTTAGTCGTAGCGCCATCTACGAGAAATCTATGAAAGATTTATCACCCAGTTAGTACCTTTACAGCTACCAGTCCTAAAATACTGTATTAATTGTAAGGAATTAATCTTTCTAACTGACCCTTTCGAACGGTCTTTACACGGTATTACAACTAAACGTGGCATACAACTAAATCTTTCAGTGAAACTTTGTTTTAAAAATAAAATAACGTGTCCATGATTCAAAATATCTACAATATAAGTACTTTCAGTAGCAGTAGAACTCCATGTGAAAGAGTTCGTCAAGGAAAGTACTGCCACCTTACCTATTTCTGCCGCCTTGCAGTAGGTAATGTCTCTAATACTGCTTTCCGATCTAGAAGGGTAAAATTGCTGGTGAAATTGCAGACACATGGGACTTGTCAACTTATGTCTCAGGGTGACGATCGCAGTGGCAGCGTCTCTCAGATCTTTGCGTTTTAAAGCTCTGAGTGTCACTGCAACTGTTATGGACAAGCGTGCCGTTTACTACCAAACCCACGACTTGTTGACAACCCATCATTTGGTATTATAATAATAAAAATCTTTCCCTCCGTATCCCATAGTCGGGGGACATCCCATAGCTACTACACCTGTAAATAGTTCAGTATATAAACACTTATATACTTAAAATTACATGCGAATTCACGTCGTAAGTCTATTATAATTACACCCCAGTCAGATGACGCAGTGCACTTTGCACGCATTGCAATCGACGTTATTGTGACTTATATACATATTTATTATGTTCTATATTGCTATATTCTGAATTGATAAGCGACAAAGGGCCACAAATATTTGCTTATTCGATAGGTACCTACCTAATTAATGACTTAAATACTTATCCCAATTTTTTTAACATTATAATGATGCCACTCTACAATTCGAACAAGATATTGGTTATTTGAAAATAACTATGGCTCCTGAACCGGCTTAAACTCTCCCTTGAGAGCAGACCCATGCTCAGCAGTAGAACATAAATGGGTTAATAATGATCCATAGATAAAGGCAACCAAATGCAATTGAACAAATCACAGGTCTGTATGTACTAGTTATGAATTTGCAGTAATTAATTGAGGAATTAATTACAAGAATCAAGCAATTAAGAAGTTCAGTATTAAAATGCTTTTAGTTAAAATTGTTAGTAAATAAATTAACCTTTTAATTAAAATCATTGTTTTAGTAAATAAGTAGCAGTAGAGACTGCCACGTTATCCATTTCTGCCGCCAAGCAGTAATGTCAGCATTACTGTGTTCCGGTTTTGAAGGGAAGGGTGCTGGTGAAATTACAGGCACATGGGACTTGTCAACTTATGTCTCAGGATAACGGGTGCAGTGGCGGTGCGCCTCACATCTTTGTGAGCTGAGTGCCACTGCAACTGTTATGGACAGGCGTGTAGCTTACCATCAGGCGCACGACTTGCTCGTTCCGTTACTTAATATCATTTAGAAAAAACCTATTTTCATGTCTTCAGCATAAGTTCTAACTTCACTGATTAATATTTTCCGGAAGTTTATTTTTCGTTTTGACGTTTGTTCCTTTTTGAGATTACTTTATCAGTGTTATCACAAAGTAATTAAAATGTTAAAACCTAAAGGTTAGTTAGTCACATATAACTTGGTCGTTCCATACAATATGGAAAGAACGAATTCGTTATCACAATACAAAATACATATATAATATAATATAATATAATATAATATAATATAATATAATATAAT